ACCAACACAGCCCGGCTGGACCACGCATCTGTCGAGCGGGCGGGGCCAGGGAGAAAGTAATGTTGCGGCCGCCGCCGCCATCCAGACTGCTGCTGCTGCTACCGGCGCTTTGGCGCAACCGACGCTGCCGCTGTTACGCGCATACTGCTCTTCCGCCTGTGCTTCTGTCCTAGCTGTCACCGTTACTTCCTTCGCCCGTGCAATCACCATCTATCATTGTCGCCCACAATTGGGCCATCACCTCTTCGTGAATGTTTAGTATTGCCCAACTTTTATCGATTTTTCGTAATGCGTATCAATTGCTTCCATGTCCATATTTGAGGAAATTAATGTTTTGGAAATTTTTGCTTAAATATGGAATGCTTGTTATAATAATAGTAATAATAATAATAATAATAATAATAATAATAATAATAATAATAATAATAAATTTAGGGGTTGGAGTTACAAGATGTGATACACTTCAACCAACAACGAGGTATTAATATTTACGTATAGCAGGGGGATAGCCGTGACTGGAGTGGCCTAACTTATTTCTGTCCCAAGCTCTTCAAATAAATAAATAAGACTTGAATACAGATGATCTATTCTACAAGTCACGAAGCTTATTATTGTCTTCTATGTATCTCGTAGCTCTGTTTGTGGTTGTCGCTATTACGCGATATATCTTAATAGAAAGTAAATGTTTTGCGCCGTTATTGGTACCATGGTACTGCGTATTCATCAGCAATACACTACCATCGTCTTCAAGGGTGTAATTACTACCGTCAGCGGCAGTCATTATCGCTTCGCTCCAATGATACCTTCTCTTGAAAGTTCATTGTCTTGTGCTTTAAGAAACCTCTCGTTCTAAACACTGAAAGCACATGTTCTTCATATGAATGTACCGCCTTTGTTTGTTTCGCTTTTTGACATTCCCGCCATTGATGTCGCAAGAGGCGCCATTGCCACCATCGTTGCCATTAGCTAGGCTGTCGCACTCATTCCTTCCGGCGCCATCTCCACTACCTTCAAAAGAGCTGCACACTCTATTAATTCACAGCCATCGTCAGAACAAGAATGTTCGCCACCGTCTTATAAATAGCGCATACCCAACACTGCTATCATCGCCATTACCTCCTTTACTCTACTTTCATTGCTTTAGTCATTGCTTGCATCGTTCCCTCCATCCACTCCCTTCTTGACTGCCTCTTCAGGTATCAGCCACCGCCTCCGCCACCTTCTCCGCACTCACATCCATCATCACCTCCTCCTCCTCCTCCTCTTCCTCCGCGGCCTCATTCGCAGCCTTCATTACCGCCTTCGGCGCCGTCTTTTTCGCCGTTACCGTCTTCATCACAGCCCACACGATGCGATGCTGCCTGCGCCGTCGCCATCTGCGCCGTCGCGCCCACCTCCGCCCGCGCCTGTTTATTTTGGTGCTCTGTGGAGGAGGCCGCCGCCGCCTCCGCGCCGGGAAACAGATGAGAGTCGCGCCGCGCCGCGCCGCGCCCGAGCCGAAATTGAATCTCAGTTGCCCGTGGCGGCGGCGCGGTTCGTCCCGCGCACAGCACAGCGTCGCCCTCGCGCGCGCGGGCGCACGTTCGCGGCGCGGCTAGTAGCGCAAGTGGACTGGAAAATGACTCTATCTCGCCGGCTCATCAACACACTGTCGGGATAATGAAGGGTTTGTTTTAAAATTCCCC